ATCATCCCTCCAGAGCCTGGTTTGACAGCAACTTTCATGCTCATTCACCTCTTGAAGCAAACCACTGGAAAGTATTAGGTTTTTTAAAAGCAGGCTAAGATTTTGTAGCTAACCTGGTGAGATTATAAGGGATAAGGACATCTGTATTTCCTTTAAAAATTTATATTCAGTATACCCCAAAGGCTCATATCACAATGGCCTGATTCTGAACACAAGGAATCGAAGCCAGATGTCTCAAAAATTAGGTACCTGATTCTCATAAAAATCTATGGAGTTAGATGCTTAAGGACATTTAAAAATGCAATACAGTGGGCACATCTACACATGTATTAATGTGTTTTTCCTAATACTCATTAAATTTAGTACCTCCAATATGAGGTACTAAATAAATGTGCATTAGACTGCACTAATGCACAGTAGTGCAAGTGTGCATTTTTAGGTGACAATGTGCAGTAGCCTATTCTACTGTGCATTAGTGTATTAGCACGGTTTTTACACACCACTTCAATGTACAGTAGAATAGGTTTTAATGTTCATTAAACTGCACATGTACATGCACCCAGTGTCTAGTTTGCACAAGGATTTTTTTGTTACAGTAGTTCCCATCCATTCAGGGCAATGGTTCAGCAAATGAAGAACCTTACTGTACACATTATTACCCATACGCAAATAAGTCAAATGAGCAGCTGTGCAGAAGCTGATGGGGGAAATAAAAAAATTAGTGAAGTTGATGGTAAAATTCCTGTTGGTTTCAATAGCACCATGATTTCATACCATGAGTCTTCTCATGCTAGTAATATCCAAGTGAGAGTATCCAGGGCCAGCCCTAAATATTTAACTGAACCTGCCCAACCTGCCTTCCTCAATTTCCTGTGTGCATGACATCTTGGAAGCTGGGCTGTTCTTTGAAGCAGCCTGTTTTTCCTGGGTGACTACGGTGCAGTGAAGCTAATACCAGGGTCCTGAAACATATACAGCTTGCTAGTCAGAGATCTTAAGACATGACTGAGTTGAACTTCTTGAAATTAACACTAAGAGAATTCATTGTCCCCTATTTTCATAGTTTCATAGTTCATAGTTTCATATGAACATAGTTTCATATACAGCTTGCTAGTCAGAGATCTTAAGACATGACTGAGTTGAACTTCTTGAAATTAACACTAAGAGAATTCATTGTCCCCTATTTTCATAGTTTCATAGTTCATAGTTTCATATGAACATAGTTTCATATACAGCTTGCTAGTCAGAGATCTTAAGACATGACTGAGTTGAACTTCTTGAAATTAACACTAAGAGAATTCATTGTCCCCTATTTTCATAGTTTCATAGTTCATAGTTTCATATGAACATAGTTTCATATACAGCTTGCTAGTCAGAGATCTTAAGACATGACTGAGTTGAACTTCTTGAAATTAAAACTAAGAGAATTCATTGTCCCCTATTTTCCTCTCCATGTATCTATTTTAATATCCCATAGATAGTTATATTCTGCTAGAATCTCCTCCGTACCTTTCTTCATTTGGGCCTTGTCTCATTTTGTTCATTGATTTGACCTTGGAGCAGCATTTTCCCATTCAGATTTTGGTTCTTATGCCTATCAGTATAGATACTGTATACACCAAATTTCTCCTGAAGTGGAGCTGAGAAAGTATAAAACCTAAATATGGTTTGGAATGTAATGACCAAACAAGTTACTGCAACATTAGGAGCCTGATTTAGACAAGGGTGTGGTACCTAAAAGGCTCTGGTATACTAGTCACTGCTGAATTAAAATGAATATGGATGTACATTCTACTCTCAGTCCCCAGTCATTCATGCAACTGAAACCAGGATTTGGCCCACTCTATCCATTGTGTATTTGGGTTGCATTGTGATCCATGAACTCATTTAGGAAAATTATGCATCAACTCAAGCCATTCAGACAAAGGAGCCCTCTTCCAGTCCCTAACTCCATCTCTCTCACACTGAGCAGGGTACCTTTTCCTCTGTGCAACTCCCAGAAATGCTGTGGTCTGATCCTCTGCATCACATAACAGCCTTCATTCCAACCATCAGCCCATCCATTAGCTCTAAGGCATTGTTGTTTCCTGTTCTCACAACATGCTACCACAACTGGCTCATTTTCAACAACCAGACCCTCCTCCAGAACTTGTCAAAGAGCCTCCCAGACCCTAGAGGCCTGGCAGTGTCTGCTCATCTGCCAGGCTGCCCCTTCCTAGTTTATGTGTTTTAAGGATTTTCAAGCTTAGGGATGTTCCAAAGTGTGTGGCATACCTTGGAAAAAGTGAGCTTCACTGGGCACGTCTACATGTTTATTAATGCACCATAGTTACTGCACATTTAGTTTAGTACTTCCTTAATGAAGTACTAATTGAATGCACAGTAACTACATTTACTGTGCAGTAGTGCCAGCACATGGGTTTTTTGTGACGGTTACTGCACAGTAGCCTAATAACACTGTGCAGTAGCTTATTAGCACGGTTTTTGATTGGCACACTATTGCGCAGCATTATTAGGCTACTGGGCAGTAAGAGTCTTGTGTAGATGCACCCACTGTGTGCCTGTATATAAGAAAGCCTTTGTGGAGGGCAGCTGACTCCACTGGGGCCTGTTGAGGAGAAACAGAAATCTGAGTAGGATGATGGTGAGCTTAGAAGGTGGGATGGTGAAAAAGAAAGAGGGAAGGATAGATGGGTGAAACCTCAAAAGAACTGGATAAGCTTCAGATAAGCATCCACACTTTTAGGGCTTATCAAAACAGAGCCAAACCTCCAAACCTTTTGAGATTTACCCATCAGTATGACATACGTGCAGAGAAGATAGCAGGAGTGGCACGTGAATAATCAGCAGGGCCTACAGAACTACACAATGAAACATCCAGAGAGGATGCAGTATTCAGTAGGGTCATGCTGCCCATAAAGCCTCATGAAACTGCCTTCTGAAAAGGTGGGCTCATTTCAATTCTTAAGGAAAAATACGGTGCTCAAACTATGCTCAGATCCCCAACACACATTTCCAGGCTCTCCCACTAGGATGACGTCAGTGTGACTAAGCCAACTCACACCACCTGACCAGCTTATCCATATATTTTTTAAACCAATGTGTAGTTAAAAAAAACAAATAGCTGCATATCAGAATGAATGGATACATCTAGCAGAGCTGCAAAATGAGTGAGTTGTGCTCTCAGCTGCAAAACATGAGGCTGCTCTGTTTTCTTGCAGTCTCCCCTGGTCACAGTCCAGTCTGTTTGTGAGGCACCTCAAATTTCTACTGGAATTCAAAAGTCTCTTCTGGAGCCCGATCATTAATCACATGGTAAAATTCATTACAGTGACTTTTGTTACACAGGCATTGGGTTATAATGAGGATGAAATATATGTGTGTGTGTGAGGAAACGTGTGTGCGACATGCAGCACAGTATATGCACATGCATATATCATGCACCCTTGGGTTTATCTTTTGTTAATTAATTCCTGACTGATGCAAAGGAAGGCAAGTGATTTATCTGGTTTCAGCTGCTGCCCAGCAAACCCATGCTGGTGAACAGTAGTTCATTCAGGCAGGGGATTTAAGAACAGAGCACTCAGCAAAGAGTAGGAAATGATCCAAAAAAATTCACACCCACAAAAAGAGAAGACCTGCTCCATCCCTGCCATGTGCATGTGGGAAGAGAATGACAAAAGGAAACTTTTTGTGATCCCCAGAAAATCATTTCCTATCAAGGTGTGATTTTCACAGCTTAAGGGATGGGATTTCCCATGAAAATGAATGGGACCTGGGTGTAAAATCTCTAGGACGGTTCTACCCTTCCCACCCCCACTGTTCTTGAATGAACAAAAACTGATGTTGAAAGCATTTTATTTCTTCAGGAAGCTTGATCATAGATCATGAGTCAAATTTTGCTTGCTTTACTCAAGGGAGGCAGTCCCAGTGCTTTTAAATGGTCTGCTTATATGACTAAGGCAAGCAGGGCTTGACCCTAAATGTCTGGGTTTATTATTGAAACTGATGTCCATCCATAGGATGAAATTTACAAGCTATGATTTGTATTCTACACATACTAACATGAGCTGATGCCAAATGTCCAGGTGCCTAATGTTGACTCTCCTTAGTATTATGAAAAGTAGCGTAAACATTACAAGATACCTCATACTGATGAACTAAATAAATCAGGTATCCTCTGGACAGTGCATGCAGTTAGCAAAATCCTGCCCAGCATGGAATGTCAGCCCTAGGCCTAAGGGGTCTAACATACAGCTTGTTGGAGATTACCAGGGCTTGGCTGATCCTCTGCCCAGAGGTCCATTTCATCTTTCATGCATAATTACTTCAAGAATTGTCTCACAAGAGCAGCAGCTGGTCATAAGTACAGTGCTTATTGTAAAGACATAAACAAATGCTCTAAGGTTCCAGTTTAGTCATATGAATCCTCTACACTTACACTTGTATAACTCAACTCCACCTTAATCATGAAGCCACAATCAGCCCCTCCATGACACTTTGCAACTACATATTAGGAGAAATACAGTTTTTTCTTTGCAGCTGAAATATGGACTATCTTCCATTTCCAAAGAGCCAATGGAAAAGGTCTATGCAGCCATATGAACACACTTCAGTCTAGGAAACTTTGTGGAGATTCTGAATAACCTTATACAAAAGGAGATAAATATACTCTTTGCAGCTCTACTGCTAAAGAGCAAAAGGTACTCTCAGGACATGTCTACACATGCACATTTACTGTGCAGTAACCAAAATTACTGCACAGTACGGGCACATGTCTACACGTGCATGCCCATACTGTGCAGTAAATATGGAGACTTAAACTGACTTGCGTGTAAATTTGATACCTGCATCATGCAAGTATCATATTTACACCTTATTAGTTACTGTGCAGGAACGCATGTACAGACACCTTACTGAGCAGTAACACTGTGTGTGTGGACTGACTTGGGACTAACTTTAGTTTCAAATCAGTCCACACACAGCATTACTGCACTTTAATGCCTGCACGTGTAGATGCTGGTCTATTCTCGTTTACTGTGCAGTAAATTTAAGCTGATGTAAATGCACATGTTGACATGCCCTGAATGTAGGGTGCCTCAGATGATGCTAGAAAAATTGGCCCCAAAGAGAAGCCCAGCAGTTGGTTAGATGAATGAGTTGTACTTACAGTTTTGTACTTGTTTAAACCAAAATACATTTATCCATTACTACTCATCAAAAGGGAAGTCATTTACATTCTTACCTGAGGCCTTTTAGGAGCTTACTAGACTGAATTTTTGGTCAGGAAGATAGTTTGAGTTAGAAACTATGACCAAGAGAGTCAAGGGTATTTAGGTGTCTATTTCCCATTAAAATTGCTGGGATTTAGGTACCTTAACACCTTTAAAGGACTTGCCTTATTCAACTTGGAAACTAGGAAGAAATGCCTGTGTTTAAGAATCATACCAGGACAAGGTAAACAGGGTTGAAAAGGTTTTGGAAGGAACACACAGACAAATCCATTTGAGATTCTAAAATGGGCTCTCTCCCTGCCATTTGACATGGCAGCATCCATGCAGGATAAGCAGCACAGTGGCATACTGCAGGGAAACAGTCATTAAAGAGTTTTCATCTCAGAACATTTGAAAAAAATGGAAAATTATGTTTGTAATTAATTATTCATAGTTTGGGCCGTACTTATGACCCTCAGTAGTGTAACTAAGGCAGGGCGGCTGAGGCAGCAGCTCCCAGAGCCAAAAAATAACAGCTGTCACCATAGCTGCACAGTCATGCCAGCAGCTGGAAGTCACCACTGTCCCAAGCACTGCCACTGCCCCCGGCATCCGGCGCCCTGTTATGTCTCTGATGACCCTTATTCACCTCAGAAAAACCTTTCCCTCACAAGCAGTCTGAAAAATATTTTTACATGTAAATGCTCACCCATGTAAGTAAGGATGTAGTATCAGGCCCATTTCCATTAAATATGGTTATACTGCCCAAGGCCGTGGACCAAATTCAAAACCCATTAGAGTCAGTGGGAGTCTTTCCATTGGCTTCAGTAAGAAAGCCTTGCTCTAATTTTCTCTGTGTAGATGGGAAGTTTGCTGATTGTTATCAGCATATGATTAAAGTAAGTCACTCCTTAGGGGAAAAAATGAGTAGTTTATATGGTGTCATGGAGCTGATAGTGATGAGGTACTCGCTTAACCAATCATTTGTAAACCCTCTTCTATTCATTAGCCCTGGGAAGTAGAGAACATTGAACAACATGTCACTTGGTTCTATTAATATGTTTTCTTTGAGACAGAAGGAGAAAATACAGAATTAAAGGGCCAAATTTATGCACAGCGTAACTCTGGAGCTCGAATCCATAGTAGCCACCCATGTTTAAGGAATAACTTGAGAAATGTCTTCATTTAAATACATGGGTATTCCTAAATGTGTGCTTTCACCATCAATTTGCTTGGTCAAGCAAGCTTTGCATGTTTCAGTGTGCATGGCTGCCATGACTAGAACACTGTTTGAGATATCAGTTTGAAAAATCATCACCTTGGGATTCTTCCCCTTTACAAAATAGAAATAATTGGGTTTCAGCAAGCAATATATTGAGATGTACACAGGTGTTAATTAGGAATTCCTTCTCTGGTGTAGTTTAACTTGAAGCTGGAGATTTTGTTTCAGTGCTAGTTATGATTACAAATGAACATAAATAAATACTTAGCAGTAAAATGTCACAAACTGCCCACATCTTTCAATTGCTCATGTGTTCAATGCCATCACACACCATGATCACACATGACTGTCCGATATGATGCTTTATATAGAAATAACATCAGCCCCAAATATAGCCACAATGAATGTTAACCTGGTTCAAAGTTGGTTAAAGCTTACTGAATTCTTTGAATCAGTGCACCAATTTCAAAACACATTTTCAGATGCATTTTGAGTTCATAATTTGTACCATGTTGCTGTTTATGCTAAGCCACTCTCATAGTAACACAAAGAAGCAAGTTATTTACATTGGTACTGTGTAAATTGAGCAAACCAATCCATCTTTACCACAAAAGCCAGACAGTCCATGTTGAATCACACAGCCTGTTGCAATGCACATTAAAAGAGACATCCCAAAGTGGACTGCTGAAAGTCAGAACCGTTCTTATTCCCCAGGCATGGCTGAGAGAACTAGAAGCAACTAGACTAATAGCCAGCAGTAAGATGCAGCTACTGTCCCTTTTGAACCATATGGAATGTCAGCAGAACTGTTTTCTCCTGATTCTTTTTTTTGTTTGAGACCCAGTTAACATCACTAGAATTTCACTGATTTAAAAAATAATAGTAATAATTAGTTCACCCAGTTTAAAGAGTAAATTTCCAATCAGCAGGTTCCTACGCGATACTTCCTTTTTCTTCCTTGCAGTGTGATTTGCATGGTTATATCTAGGTGAATCAGATGCTGTCGTCCTGGATGATATGTTTAGTAAGTGCTTGAGTTCTGGGCTCCTGGGGTCAGTGGCGGTCGTAGGCAGCAGTCGCTGCCGGAGGTGCTGCTCCACGGGCTGCAGCACTGTAATAGTAAGGAGAGCCTGCAAGACAGGAGGTGATCATGAGAATCCAAAGTTGAAAGATACCTGACACTAGTATAGGCAGGTGAGCTCTGACTAGCCTGTATTTAGATCTACAGGTTTGAGCCTGGCCCTATGGGTACAGTGCACGCCTGCATGCTTCAAATCACACTTTACTTTTCTATTGCCATTCTGGCATCCGATCCTGCAAAAAGAACTTCAAGTGAAGACCATTATTACCACAGCCATGCAAATCACTTAGGGTCCAAAATGGAAGTGTTGACTGCCTTGATTAAATGACTCCCACCCCCTCCAATTTTATTTTGTTTTAGTTTTGAGTTTTTCTTAAACATTTTATATCAATCAAATATAGTTATATTTGATATTGAAACATTGTTTCAAAACAGAAACATCAGAGCATTTCATTCAGACTGTACTGAAACAAAATTATTTTTCAACTTTTTTAATCAAAACTAGTCAACATATTTCAAAACCTTGTAATTCCCAGAGTTGGGGAATTTCAGTTTGTCTGAAACCATGCTTTGTACTGAATAAACTAAACCACTAACTACAGTGCTGATGTTCCTGTTTAGGTTGTGGGACCTTGCTTCCCTGGGCCCCCCCAACTCCTGCATTTCACAGGATAAAAGGCTCCATGCTCTTGGATTCCCTTGTAAGAGCATGTGCCCTTCATCTAATATGTGGGTTTACCCATATATTGGAGAGGACAAAGAACTAGGGCTCATTCTTGAAAACCAGTTGCTGACTCTTCAGGAAGTTGGGTAGATTAGAAAACTGTACATTTAATGAGTGGATCTAACCAGTCATGAGAGCTGCCAGTCAACAGGCCTGCTCTATGCATTACCAACCAAGACTGAAGCAAAGGTCTTCATCATCCATAAGCATCCTAAAAAGCAATTGTTTCTGTCCAAGCAAGTGGAGTTGTGCTAGTTTTGTTACGAAGGCACTAAGACCTAAAGAGTTTAGCTGGAGCAGCAAAGAAGCAGGTTTTTCATGTACCAACACAGAGAGAGGGGCTGAAGCATGTACGTGCACCTCCACACCTTGTCTACTGTAGTGCATGGTTTGGGTATGTGACTGCAAGCATCACAAAGTCAAGAAATTCTTCCGCTCACTTTGCAGCAAAACCTTTCACCGCAGTGCACAAAGTCTGACTAAAATCTGAAGTTGCCCAACACTTCAGGTGCTGATTTTATGATTTCTGGGAAAGAAGTGTTGAGACTTGTGAAAAGTCATGAGTTCAGTGACTGGGGAGTCATCAGGAGATTAGGGAGCCTGATATTGTGGGTAAGAGGGTGTGTGCAGGAATCTCAGAGAGCAATTTCTATTGAGCCTTCAGTATCACAGCAGGCAGAAAGCACAGGCAACTGGGCAGCAACAGAAGGGCCTGAAATAAAAATGGTTGAGCTACCGTATTTGGGAAAAGTCACTGATACTAAGTAGGCTGTGGTGCTTCTGGAACAACACCTGGACAGGAAGAACAAAGGCAGTTTTGTTCTGGGACCAAGGCTTTTTTAGCTCTCCCATGGGTGGACCTAGAAATTTGAAAAGCGGGGAGCGGAGGATGAGGTGCATCATCACATATAAAACAACATTTATATTTCTCCAGTTAAAAATAAACTGGAAGCTTTATTTATATGCTAGGGGCCCAGGGCTGTATTACACAGTTTAAGATTGAAGCAAAAATAAATACAACTTCATTGGAACGAATTAAAAACAACCTTAAGAGCTGTGAAATGGGAGCTTCCTTACCAAGAGCGGTTAACAGATAGCAGAATTATAAAAGGAAGGATAGCTTGGGGTATGAATAACACGTGCCCCCGGCTGCTGGGGGGCACGGTAGCACTGTCAGCGGCAGGGGCATGGCGGTGGCAAGCGAAGAACTCCCGCAGATGCTGCCAGCGCTGTCGGCAGCCGAGGGGGGAGGTGCTGGAGTGGTGAGTGCCAACCAGGGGTCAGCAATCACCCACAGGCACTGCCGGAAGTGTCAGTGTTGGTGTCGGGCGAGGGGTGGTGAGCAGCAACTGCCCGCAGCGCCTTTTTGTAGGGGGTGCACTGCCATGCTCAGGGGGTGCACGTGCACCCGCATGCACCCCCTATGCATCGCCAATGGCTTGGGGGGGAACATCAGACCACTAAAAGGAAGAGAGGTTGTTAATGTCTTTGAAAGGAAGAGTTTAGAAGGGATCAGAGAGATTATAATGAACCATGAAGTCTCCCTCACATCTGGTGAGGTAGTGAAAGACAAGAGTGATTTGTCCAAAATCACAAGGGAAAATTCTGGCCCAGCAGGGGAGTGTTTTTCTAACCACTAAACTATCTTTCCTCTGTTGTGATGGGGAAAATGGCTCCTTGCTGCCAAGAGCCTGACTTAGCTGAAATCTGGAAACATTGTCTGTCACCAGGAGAAAGGGCAACATTGCTTTCTCTGCCTCCTATACAGATCCAGGCCTGGTGGTGTGCATGCGCACTCCAACAGCTGAGACTCTGGTAAAGCTGCTTCTCTGACACCCCTTGATTCTGTTTTACATGACTGGGTGTTGGCACCGCATGCCAGAACTGCATCATTAACAACAAACAGGATATGCAAGGTCCTTTAATTTTAACACTTAGCTCAAGGTGGTGCTATAATTCTAACAGATGAAATTTTTCTTTTCTTCTTCCTAAATTGGTCTTTGAGCTGAGCTGGGCTATAATTCCCTCTTCCAAATCTCTTTTGGTTTTCAGAATTTTACTCATTAGCATCTTGGCCTTGTATTAGGCTGAAAAAGATCAGCCTGAGGGCTTAAAGGACATACTTGGGTTTGTATGGCCTTGTCAATAGTGGATTTCAGAACAGTTTATTTCCTAATAAAATACACTAAATAATACATTCAAAACAGATAAATGATTAAAAGAATTTGGTAGGCTTTCCTGCACCCTTCTGTTGTTGTTTAGGGGGATCTCTGAGGACAGCTCAGAACACCTGTGACCATGTTCAATCCCACCTTTTCTTGCTTCCTCCCTCTGTGTCCACATGTGCCCACAACTCTCTTCAGCTGCAGTTTCAGCTTTGTTGCTGCTGTTTCTGGCAAACCACATCATGTAATAACCCAGGGAGGGGCAGGCAGGTTTACCAAAACCAGAGAAAGTGACTACCCACAAGGTCAACACATAGAGCCAACCAAGGATCGACAGAGCTGACTGATCTCTTCGCACAGTGTGCACGAGCAGCCAGCAACAGTACTTCCATTTCTGTGGCAACACAGGATGTCCAGCACTACAGGACCACACCTATCCTCCTTGAGTGGTCCTAAAAGTTGAATAGTCTCAATAGAGGGTTGGCTTATCCTCCAAGCAAGGGTCTCCTCAATCCTGATAACATTTGCATGCCAGTGACTATGCCATTTCATGCCTTTCAAGCCAACAAGACAACTCAAACTTTCTGTCCACTAGCTACCTGGGCACCCACCAGCAGTATAGCAGCATCATTCATGCCCCAAGCTATCCTTCCTTTTGCAATTCTGCTATCTGTTAACTGCTCCTGGTAATGAAGCTCCCATTTCACAGCCCTTAAGATTGTTTATAACTCATTCCAATGAAGTTGTATTTATTTTTGCTTCAATCTTAAACTGTGTAATACAGCCCTCAGCCCCTAGCCATCTGCAAAAATTGTGCCACCTCAACAGGCTTCAGAGGAGTATGAGCACAAAGCAGAGCATGATGTCCAACTACCATTACACTACTGACTTAAATTTTGTAGACCCAGCACAGGGAAGAAACTGCTTCTGAATGGTCTGAGCCCCACCAGGTCATCCAATATTTGGGCGGAGCATCTTGAATTATTATGCTGCATGTCATGGGTTGTGGCTGCAAATATAGCAAATGCCATGTCACCTAAGAGTTTGATTAACGGGCATATGGATGGTCTTATTGGTAAGTACTCCCCTACTTACTAACACAGCTTGCGAAAGAGAAACCTGCTGCTAGGGATTTAGGATAGCCTGCTTGGATTTGAACAAGACTTGCGTGGTCTTGATTCTGCAGAATATTATGAATATGCTCAACATATCAATGGTTCCCATTAAGCTAGTGAGGTTGCTCACTTAATTAGACACTTGCAGGACAAGATCCTTACTGATCATATTTCACCTCAGGAAAGGATACAACCGGAAACTGTAGAAGAGAATATATTGTACATCTGGCTGGCTTAGGCACATCATTATTATCTCCTTCAATCTTAAACAATAACAGGTGACAAGGAATAGAAACAATTTTTGTTCTAGTGACTAGTGGAAGAGTCCAGAGCTAGGAGGGCTAGCATATGTTATAGACAAGTTTCAAAGCATCCTGTTGAATAAAACAACTGAAAGGAACAAATAAGAAGGTAGTAGTTTAAGGAGCAGGAGAAGGAAGAGATACTGGACATACTGGATCACTTGTGTTTAGCTCCTGAATCCTGAGTTCAGTTACCAAGTCTCTTGTGGCTAATTACATTTCCTATCTTTCCACGTTCCAAAATAGAAGCAATGTGTTACATGTTGTAGCTCAAGATGTTCCTGATTAATTTCATTTGAGCTTTCTCCATGCAAGATAGAGACTGGTGTAGATGAATAAATATCATTGCCTGACAGTGTTGTAAAAATAGCATGTCCTTCTTTTGTTTGTACATTCCTAATTGAATAAATTACCCCAGTGCTGGACAGAAAATATAAATCCAATGATAACTTTAAAAGGTTCTGAGATGTTCCCAAATCTTCTACCAAATACCCTTCCTGGTTAACAAAAAAGAAATGGAGTTGGTATTCTTTAATTACATATGCTCTCCATTGTTGATCTTGTTGATTGCCACTGCAGCCCTTTAAGCTATACAGGCCGACATTCATGAGTTGGAGTAGTAAATTCATTTTTCCATTCTGCTACTGGTTTAATATATGCACATATTCAGAAGTGCAGTACTGTATCACCTCTACTGGCCAGGGTCATAATGATATGATCACTAAGGCTTCTGATTAACCACC